CCTGCTGTCTCCTCTCCTCTACCCCTGCTGTCTCCTCTCCTCTACCCCTGCTGTCTCCTCTCCTCTACTCCTGCTGTCCCTCCCCAGTTCTCTGAACTCTGACTTTCCCGAAAAGGCCCTGTCTCTCACTGTAACCATCCTGCACCACCACTGAAGCTAGTCACTAAACACTAACACACAATCTCTGCTTGAAAACACCACACTTCTCACTGCTTACAGACTAACACTAAACTCCTTAGCATAACGTCCAGAGATCTATAGCATTGTCCACAACTTCCCTGTCCAAACACCCTCTGTCACATCTTCCTACCCCTATCTGCCAGGCTCCACACCACTCCTGGGGCTTTCCTGCATCTGGAGATGGCCTCTCTACCTCTACCTACAACTTGTATTGACCCTGTGAGTCCCCAGTCAATGGCACCTTCTATGGGAAGCTCCCTTAACCCTCAGGCCTCGAGCCTATCTATCCCATCCCATCGCCTGTGCTTTCTGCGTATTTCCCCACCAAACATCACACTGAATGGCAGTGGTGGTTCCGATACTGGTTTCCCCAAAGACAATGCTTCAAGGACCTTTGGGGAAGAGGCCATGTTTGTATCTGAGGACCAAGGCTGCACAGAGGGTCACACAAGGAAGAAATGCTGAACCTGACCATCAATCTGAAGGCAAGAAGCTGGATACTGGATAAAAGCACTTTGTGGCTGGAAAGATGGCTTCATCTGTGAAGTACTTGCCTTACACGCACAGGGACACCAGTCCCTGTGCCCAGAACCCACATCAAGAGAGCTACACGTGATGGCACGAGGCAGAGGCAGGGAGATCCCCGGATGCCTCAGCCAGCCAGCCTAGCCTAATTGCTTAATTTTGGATAGATGGATAGACCGTCTTTAAAAAAAAAAAAAAAAGTGGATGGAACCAGAACAACACTCAACACTCAGGACAGCCAACCTTTTCCTGTGGTCTCCACATGCACCTATATGTACATGTATAACTACACACACACACACACACACACAGAGAGAGAGAGAGAGAGAGAGAGAGAGAGAGAGAGAGAGAGAGAGAGAGAGAGAGAAAGTCAACACTCTCACTCATCCTCAGCTGCCCTCTGCTAAGAAAGGAAGAAGTCTATAGCCTCCACCTTCCATGTATCTGAACCCCCAATTGGACAAGACAAAAGTTCTAATAAAAAGCTAAGATACCTCACAAGGACTACACTACAAACACATGGCTGAGATTTACAAAGCTGAGCTGACAGTTACCTGGTGACCCCGTACTCTGGGGGTGGCTGATACCTCAGGACGGCCACTTCTGTTCTCACGGGCTGAGGTGCAGGGTAAGGTTTGACCATCTCATGGAGTACTCCAGGGTGCTGGTCACTGTAGTAAAGTCCGTGATCTTGGTTCTTGCTGACCGGGGACATCATTGGCTTGGTCTTGAAGGGGTATTCAGGTGGAGGGCCACGAGGGTCCAGTGCTTTACAGGCAGGCTGGGCAGGGGATGGCCCTCCTCCAGCTTTGACACCCTTCCCGTTTCCTGAGCTGGGGAGGTGTTGCTTAGCCCCGTTCCTCTCCAGCGACAGCTGCATGATCCTCTCACTGAGGGATCGGACGTGGCCCTGCTTTAGCTCTTTCAGGGCCTCATCCTTGTGTGCCTGCCCGCTGTTGGCCCGGTTCACTGTGGGCCTCCCCTCCGTGCGGGACTTCTGACTGGTCCCTCCGGCCATGTAGTAAGTGTGGCCCAGGGGCCCCTGTCCCTGCTGCTGCTGTTGCTGTTGCTGCTGCTGCTGCTGCTGTCCCCTGAAGAACTGAGACTGGGCCTTGGCCTCCTCATATGTGGGCAGCTCCTCGTTGTTTTGTTGAGGCTGAGTGGCGCGAACCTGCTTCTCCATCACCGTATTGTCCCCCTGGTGCTCTTGACCTTGCGGCTCCTGGCGGGCTGACTGGAAGACCATTTGTGGGTCTTCTTGAGTAAGGGTCTCCGTGGAAGAAAAGTTGGTGGTGGTGTGGACTGGCCCTGCACTCCCTGTGGCCTGGTGCTGAATGGCCAGCAGGTTCATGTTCTCAGTCGGGGTGCCATAGCGCAGCTGTTCCTGGATCAGCCGCTGCAACACTGTTCCAGCAGCCGCGTCCTCAGAACCTCTCATTTCCACCTCCGGGGTCCTCAGGAAGCTTGGGGAGAGAGGGTCCTCCACTGAAACACAAACAGGAGTCAAGCTAACAGGCTGTCCCCAGGAGACACCAACTGACACTCTAGTCGGTGTCATTTAAAAACAGTACCCTGCGATGCCTCAAAGGAGTGTTTCTCAGATTTCCTGAGACTCCGCTGCCCCCACCCCCATCCCTTTTCTGTCTCCTTTGTGATGGGATCTCCCTTTCCACATCTCTCTTTCCTAACTGTGGCAGAAACTGACTTAAGTCTTCCCATTATAAATATAACGAACAATCACAAAGATACTGCCCACAGCCCTCTGCCAGGTCTCTAGTGATGGTCTTCCATCACTGCTTTCTTTCTCTCAGGGCTGTCCTCAGAAGGCAACCACATTGGCTGTCCCCGTGCTCCAAACACTGCACACACTCTGCTCTGATTAGTAACCAAATCCAACCTCAGTTTTGGGACTCTGGTGTTACTCACGTAACCTTTCTAGAACATTTAACCTGGTTGTTAACCCTGTTTAAAATGTTCTTCTGATTTAGCATCCAAGCCACCATCTCCTTCCTGGTTCCATTTACACTATCTGCCTCTTCTAGTCTGTGTTTTCCCCAAGCTCTTTCTAAGTCCCATTTTTGCCTCCACTGAACAAAATGTACACTCCTGTCTTTGACTCCTGAGTCACACCCTGCCTCTGCAATGGTAGCTGATGTCGCTTAACAGCAAAATACTTCCAACACATCCTCCTTCCTCCCCATCTCCTGTAGCCTGTGTCTTATTCATATCTTGATTATTAAGAAATTTCATACCGAGTGACAGGAAGAAAGCAGAAGCAAACCCTAGTTTCTGTCCCAATCTGCTCTCTGTCCAACTCTATTCCCTCACCAGGTGTAGGCTCTGCTAACCAGTTGTGGGGAGATTCCAAACAGCCCCTAAAGCCTCTTGCTTCTGACCTCCTCTGCCTCTGATCCACAAAATCTTCATTGTTTCCCTCCCTGTACCAGAGACCACTATGGTCTATACAGTCATTTCCAAGCTAACCAGGGCTACACAGAGAGACCTGCAAAGAAACCAAACTAATAATTGTAACAAACAATGAACATCCCAAAGAAAGACAGCCGTGTGGTTTTACTTGCCCCCCATTCACCTAACAAGCATGTGCTGTGACCCTTCTCCTGTCGAGGACACTATTAAGTGTTGGAGTTAGGGGTCTAAAGGGAACAAAGCGTTTATGCCCAAAGTCACAGATCCAGAAGACTTAAGGGAACAAGTATCTTTAAATAAGAATTTAAAAGTTTAGATAAAACAAATAAAAAACAGAATTGCAATAGGAAAATGATTCATGTAGATGGATAATAAAAGGAATGGGTCTCAACAGGCAGGAAAACTAACTTCTTCTTACTCTGGAAGGGGAGCACATTTGTCAAGAGCCCTGGGATCCTTCCAGAAACGACTTCACCGCTCTCCACCCCCTGAGACATCGCTGCTAAAAAGATGTTTGAAAGGAGGAGGTTGCTGGGCAGTGGTGGCGCACGCCTTTAATCCCAGCACTCGGGAGGCAGAGGCAGGCGGGTCTCTGTGAGTTCAAAAAGAGCAGAGGCTACAAAAGCTAGTTCCAGGACAGCCTCGAAAGCCACAGAGAAACCCTGTCTCAAAAAAACCAAAAAGAAAAGAGAAGAAAGGAGGAGGACCCTTATCTACTAAGGTTTTGAATTTATTTTGAAGTACTGACTTATTTGCAAAAACAAAAAATGAAAGCAGAGGACGAAAAGAGGCAAAGGATTCGAGAACAGGCAGGAGAAAGTATGTAGACTCTGAGCAGACAATAACGGGGTCTGGATGATGTTATTCTGAAGTCCAATGTATGAAGGCATTAAGAATCCCTTGGAGGGTGTCACATAGAAAACCATCTTTATGGTGTGTGTGTGGGTAAATATGCATGTTTGTTTGGGTGCACCTGTGTGTGGAGTCACAATGTCACGTGTTGTTCCTCAGGAGCCATCTACCTTATTTTTCTTAATTGGATACCCTTTATTTGTTCTTTGACAATTCCATATGTGTAAATGATGAATCTCAATCCTACCCACTACCCACCCCAGGCACCACCCCTTCACACCCACCCTGGGCACCACCCCTTCACACCCACCCTGGGCACCATCCCTTCACATCCACCCCAGGCACCACCCCTTCACACCCACCCCAGGCACCACCCCTTCACACCCACCCTGGGCACCCAGGCACCACCCCTTCACACCGTCCTCACCATTGTCTCCTTTTCTTTTTTTCTTTTAACTTTTTGTAGCCCACTGAACTCAGCTCTGCCAGCTAGGATATTTGTGATCTAGTTGGGTTGGCCTTGTGCAGGTCCCACAGCTGCTGTGAGTTCAAGTTATGCCACAGCCGTGTCATGAAACAGCACTTCACAGCACTCCTCCCATTCTCCAGCTCTTACGTTATTTCTGTCCTCTCTTCCACAATATTCTCTGAGCCTTGGGGGTAGGGGAGGAGTTCACTGGTCTTTGGGATAGTCTCTCACTGGAGGATCAATAACTAAACCAGTGAGTCTATGGAGCGGTCTCTCTCCACCTCACCAGAGCTGACAAGCATGTCCTATCACGACCAGCTTCTTTACATTCTGGGATCTAACTCAGGTCCCAGTGCTTGGATGACATGCACTTACCAACTGAACTAATTATCCCAACCCCAAATGGTCTTGTTAACATCATGGTACAACATGAATTAAATAAACCTCCTAGCCTGAGACAACTCTTAATTCAGGATGGCAACTTGAGGCTAGAGAATAAAGAAATGTCTGAAAGACATGTCTTTCACCCTCAAGAATACATTCCAAGACCCTCAGGAGAATCCTGAAACCAAGGACAGTGTCAAATCCAGGAAATGTCACATCCCCTGTGTGTGTGTGTGTGTGTGTGTGTGTGTGTGTGTGTGTGTGTGTGTGTGTACATGAATTTAACACAAATTACAAATAACAAGAGATTATCAGTAATAGCCAATAGGAAATAGATGTTATGACAATGTTCTGCCAAAAGAGTATTTAAGACTTACGAACTATTTACTTCTAGCATTTTTTCAGTTATTATTTTCAGACTGTCATTGACCTTGGGTAAACAAAGTCGTGGAAAGGGAAGCCACAGGCACAGGGTTTACTTATTGCAGAAGAGCTAAGAATGAGAAAGTCTGATCCTCCGAGCTCTCAACACACCGACAGCAAGAAGACTTACCGCCTTTCCCCCTCAGGCCTCCACTTGCCTCCACTGTCAAAGTAGATGCCTCATGCCTTCCAGAATAGAGCTGCAAGTCTGGGTAGAAGTAGGCAGGCTCTTCTAGAATCTGCACAGGACTGCTGGGGCTGTAGCAGACACGGGGAGGAGCTGGGAAAAAGAAAATGATGTGTGTGTTACTGCCAATCACGTGCCCCTCCTTCCTGTGTGACTCATGTCCCCCCACATGGCAACTTGCAGTGAGTCTGCCTGTTTCATTCATAAAATTCCAAAGCTACTTCTCACAACTGTCACAAATTCAGCCACCCACCAGGCTGAGCCACAGTCCTCAAGACCTGGTGAGTACAGGCGCAAAACTGTCACCCGGTAGCAGTGCCCACCATCCTCTGTGCAACTACAAGAGGCATGGGCTTTGAAATGGTCAAGGTAGAAGACAGAAAGGAGTGAGTGGAGCCGACCAGAAAAAGAAAGGTGAGGAGAGCAGCTGTCTCTCCAAAAATATGACAAAAGAAGAGGTGGCCACTCTGCCAGGCCATGTGTCAGCAAGAGAATGTCCCAGGCTGAGGCACAGTGTGCCCTGACTCCCTGTGAAGTTTCTGAGTCTCACGTTGCAGAAGAACCAAGGGCTTGGGCCTCTGCCAAGCAATGGCCGTTCAGCTAGCTCCTTTATCTGACACACACACACACACACCCCACATACACACGTTCAGTTAAACTCAATGCTGCACTTGGGCCCACGAGCTACTAAACATGAGCCCCCACTTCAGGGTTACTGACAGCACAGTTGCCAACTGTGGGACTCTGGCAATTGGGCCACTTTCCCTTCCTGCTCTGCTATGTCTACATGGACACCAAGACTAAAGCTCTGCAATTTTTTTCCACTTTACTATGGAGACTCGTTATTATTTATCAAAATTAAAATTGCTGCCTGCTTACCTGAAAGATAACTCCATTTTGGAAAAAAAAATGCTTTCAGCAATGGTTTTAAACTAGGTATCTGAAATTTACCCTGTGTTTTGCACAAGATGGGAGCTACTAGTGACTCATGACACCAAGGACCAAAGACAGGAATACAGCTCCCTGTCACTGAGTCATCATACTTTACAGGTAAAATAGCATTTGTAAGTGTGCTCACCATATCATAGGCACTTCTGGACCAGAAAGATAAAATTATGATTTCCATAGCTGAAATACTTATCTTGTAAATTTAAAATAAATCTATCAGGGTGGTGGTGGCAAATACCTTTAATCCCAGCACTTGAGAGGCAGAGGCAGATAGATCTCTGTGAGTTCCAGACCAGCCTGGTCTATAAGAGCTAGTTCCAGGACAGCCTTCAAAGCTACACAGAGAAACCATATTTCAAAAAACAAAATCAATCATTCTAGTTGGGGCTCTCACCTCAGAGATGATCATACACTAAGCATGAAAGACATATTGTACCAAGATCAGTCTAAAATTGCAGTCCTAATGCCTGAGGCATCTCCTGCTGGCAGCACACAGTGACTGCCCTGAAAAGAAGAAGTGAGGCCCCTTCCTGGGCCTCATCTGTTATACTTATAAATCTGAAAGCCTAGGACTAAAATTGGAGTTCTATATGGCTTTGCTCTAAAGTCCAACCCTGACCTAGTTCCTACCTGCAGATGAGGGGAACAAGGCACAGGCTTGGCTGCATATTGGAAGCCTAAGGTAGTTTTCAAATCCCAGTACAGGGTAGAGTGTCAAGCCCAGGCAAGTGTGTGTGTGTGTGTGTGTGTGTGTGTGTGTGTGTGTGTGTGTAGGATTGAATCCAGTGTCTTGAGCATACCAGGAAGCATTCTACCACTGACTGAGATATATTTCTTGCTTCTCACAATATTTTTTTATTTTGATAGAGGATACTAAGTTGCCTGGGCTGGTCTTAACATCAACTCAACTGTGTAGTTTAGAAAACCCTTAACATGCAATGCCCCTGCCTCTGCCTCCAGAGTACCTGGGGTTGCAGGCATGTATCACTAGGCTGAGCCAGGCTGTCTTTTAAAAAACTGTCAAAAAGACTCCAATTTTCAATGAATGTTGGGGGCCCCAAAGCTAGAGGAAAGTGGGGCACATCAAGGAAAAAATAAACTACAAAACACCACTGCCCACCCCTATCCTGCAAGCTCACCCTGTGTAGGGGTTAGGGTCAAGAGCTCATGTGCTCCAATCAAAGGATGGTGTTTCTTAAAATCATGCTGGGTCAGGAGTGGTGTGGGGCAGCATGCCATGTGGCAACTTTACAAGCTATTGTTTATATTGTCTAGTCATGTGACTAAAAGACTGAGCTTTGAATACAATGAAAGCAAGAGTGTATATACAAATGCATGTAAGGGTAGAGAAAGAATGTGTGTGCTTTTAATATAGCGCTCACAATGGACCCTGTACTTAGCCATATGGCCACAAGAGTGTTCATATCAATCAAGTTTCTCCATTTTTTCCATGGCTAGCCAAGTAGAAGGGTATGCCAAACTACGGAACAACAGTCTTTAAAGGAACCTGTGCTTGGAGGACCCCAAAGACACACTGCATTTTACTACATGGTCTTCAATGAAAGAACCAGTGCACATGCACGAGCGCATACACACACACACACACACACACACACACACACACACACTTAGGACACTGTGTCCAGCTATGACCAGATGGCTATGGTCACTCAAGACATCTTTCACATACACTTGGGGCTCATACATTCACAGACACACATTCTTGCAGCCACCAGGGTTCTGGGTACTGACAAAGGGCAAGGGGGTCCACAGATGAGAGAACAGGCCCCGGTAGTTCTATTCCACTCAAGCAATAGACAGTGGGGCTATCCCAGCACTGATCCTGCCCAAGAAATCAGAGTCAACATAGCACCAGGAAAATTGGCAGTGGTGTGTGTCTCAAAGTCTGGATGGGATTCCAGGGTCAGACAGCAAATGTCTACAAGCTCTTGGGATTCTATCACATGTGTTCCTAGTCCTTCTTGCCCATTTTAGTTCATTGTCTTGCACAAGGAACTTCTCTAGCAAAAACCCATTCTATTTTCTTAAGCAAATGCCAGACCAGGGATATTTGAAATGAGAACTTGGAAGCAGATGCATGGCCTGAGCAGAATGCTGTTTGCTTTGCTGGAACTTCCTTAGAGGGAGCAGGAGCTGCAAGAAGCCACAAAAGCCTTCCAGATGCCACTACCACCCAGAAGGCCCCAGTAAGGCCTGGCTCAGACCCAGGGACCCACAACCCTGCCAGAGTAGGGAGATCAAGGTCCTCTCATGGTTTGCTAGCTCAGCAGTATATCTGCACAGCATGGCTGTGTGGAGGAGCATGCTAAGGACTTCTACACAAGGCCCCCTTGGGCTAAGAGGGTGACTTACAGTCACCTAACCTCTTGTAAACCAGACCCTTTGCTGAAGGTTTTGGAGATGGGGCCAAAACACTGGACAGGAAGCCAAAGTCAGCATAGGGCACCAGGTATCTGGGTAGGTGGTCTAGGGAGGCCCATGAAACTCCCTGTGCCCCTGACTGGGAGGAAGGCAATGGTCTTCTCTATTGTGTTCAATAAAGGCTGATGCTCTGAAATCCTATGGAGTTGAATGTTTCCCCACACCCTCAAGACCCATTTCATGAAGAGCCATTCCACAAGCCACAGAATCCTGCACCGCCCCTCCCCCCCCACACACACACACATACACTGCAGAGCTCCCAGTGCTTCTGGCTTGCTTTGGAGGCACTGGAAACATATGTTCCTCCACAGTTCTACACTGTCTCTTTCTTTGAGACTGTCTTCCAGGCCTGCTGGTGGTGTGACCTTTCTCTCACTAACAGTAGGATAAAGAGTCTCGGTGTTGAAGAAAAATGAATTAGGGTTAAAATAAAACCAGTTTTCTAGGGGAGGAAAGAGGCAGGGCAAGGGGCTGTAAGCAGCATCACAACTCTGTTCCCATGGAAACTGGTAGCCTCCTGAAAGGCAGATTCAGCATCTATCACCATGCCAACTGAGCAGGCTCAGAAGTCCCCTTGAGGTTTAAACTCTAGGTATCAGCCATGCTGTCACCCAAAACACACACACACACAGAGGGAGAGGGAGAGAGGGAGAGGGGAGAGGGGGAGAGAGGGAGAGGAGGAGGGGAGAGAGGGGAGAGATGGGAGAGAGGGGAGAGGGGGAGAGAGGGAGAGGAGGAGGAGGGGAGAGAGGGGCAAGGAACACAAATAGGACAGAATTGATATGGAGCTAGATCTCCTCAGGTTCTCTGAGCACCATCTGCAGGAGCCCGAGTCTCTGCATACTCATTCTACTTGATATCCCAGCCTTCTGAGCATCCCTGTCAAGGCTAAAACTCAAAGCAAAGGCCAACTTGGCATCTCTGGTTCAGCCCTAGTGCGAAGTACCAAACCAAGTAACCTCAGGTGATTCGACATGAATCAGATTACCAGCTGACTACTACCAAAGCACTGAATAAAGCGTGTAATATATACCCAAAGGACATTTTAAACCATTAAATTTGGACGTAATTTGTTGCATAGCAAGAGATAGCCAGAGCACTCCTCTAGACGGATATATGAGCAGATGGAGTGAGGCATACTCTCACAATCGATTGGGCTTTCTAGAAAAGTGACTGGTTGACTTTTTGTAAAGCAAATTACATACTAAAAGGCTAAGCCTAAAGCATGCAGATAACAGTCACTACCCCACTTAGTTCATAGGATTGTGGATAGGAGAAAATGAGATAATGTATATGAAAGACATTCAAAAGCCTTTCCCGATAAAGACGGTGTGACTACTTTTAAAGGAATATCCCGGAGTGAAAGATCTCTTCGCGATTTAAATAATCACACAGTTTTTCCCACTTTTGTAAGTTCAGTGCATTACATATCTGATTCTTGCATACACCCACATACTGGTCTATCACTCTGAGGTTAGACTTGGTTTGGTTTCCAAGGCTGTCTATCATTAGGCTCCTCCTCTGGCTGTCAGTAGTCTTATTGTTTCCTTCAGCATCCCTGCATTCTGTGAACATGTCACCTTCATCCTCCCTGTACTACCCCCTAGATCACACACACCTCCAACTGCTTTAAGTTCTCAGTAAACTCACTTCTACTTAGGCTTACCTCCTCTGTAGTGCCTCCCCTCCCCTGCACACAGCCT